GATACTTCTTCGTATTTTACTTCGTTGCGGTGTTATTTAATTATTTTAAATAATAATTTTCAGAAACTATGTGCTTTCGGTAATTACGTCGTTCGGCGATTTCCACTAATTGCTTTTATTTATTTGAAATTCGGTCAGGAAACGTTTTCGGGAAAAGGTTTAATGGTTTTAAATGAATGATTATGAAAATTGGAAGTTTTAATTACGGAAATTAAGGAAAATGCGAATGAAGTTGCATAAGCGGGCGGTGATAAGGTATCGATTTTTGGATTTTTATAAATCGGGCGGAAACTGTAGGAGGTCGGGGTAATGTGGGAAGTATATTCGGATGTTATAAATTTTTAGGGAAAAAAAAACTTCGTTACACTCTATAAAAAATTGGAATTAAATATTAAACTGGTGTGAAGTTATCCATAAATCTCAGCCATAAACTTAAAACATTAATAACTCTGTAACCAATACGATTTGGGTCATCAAATTTCACACACAGGTCACTCTTACCCTGAAGAACAGCTTACAACCCCCATTTGGTAATAAAAAAAATTTTCAACCCCCACCCCCGAAAAAGCTTTCGCCCTGATGGGCACCTTCGAATTAAACCAAATTCTACCACATAATAGAACACAGTTCTAAGTATTTTTACCAATTTTCAAAACACCGTAACCCCTAACGGTTTTCGAGAAAAAAATCATTCTTATAAACCGCGGATAGGACTTTAGGGGCGAATTTGACCCTGATGGGCACTTCTGAAATTGATGAAATTTTAGGTTGATTTAGCGATTTAAATCAACCGTCCAAACACCGTAACCCTTAACGGTTTTCAAGAAAAAAAAATTGTTGTTAGATTCCATACGTATATAGCGCGGCGCGGACTTTGGGGGTGAATTTGACCCCGATGGGCACTTCTGAAATTGATGAAATTTTAGGATGATTTAGTGTTTTTGTAATGAAACACGCTGAAACAAGTAACACAAATCGAAATTTTGGATTTTGAGGAAGAATGTACGTTGAGTAATCTACCCTCCAAAACACTTGATTCGTGACCAATTTTTAAATGTATTACTGCGATCTGTCTCCTAAAATCTTTGATGGAAAGTGACTCCTGAAATGTCCTTTCTTATCAAGTGGAAGATGGAACGCTGAGTGATCTACCCTTCAAAATACAAGTATCTGTGACTAATTTTTAAAAATGTCACTGTGATCTGTCTCCTAAAATCTTTGATGGAAATTGATTTCTTTCCATGAATTCTTCTATATAGCAAGAAGGAGGTTACAACAGTCGTACCAATTATCATTGTGAATATACACCAGTACCATTTCTTACCCCTTATTCCTATAGAATGTTTTTCTAGGAGCCAATCATGATGGTCTACCCCACCCATGTATGGATTATAATAGCGAATCAGTCTTGGCTTACACTTTTAATTTTTGTACTCTGCTCCATTTTGTAACTGATGCTACTGGTTTTATAGTATCAAAATTTGTGGCCATACAAACACATTTACTATCATCCCATTTTACCAGCAATATGGAGTGATATCAGGCGAACGGGGAGGTTATTTATGGGGTCCGTTGTTAGCTATCCAACGTCCTCAAAACAATTTAATAAAAAGTTGTGTTGCCGCCGTGTTGGTACCTGTAGCGCATCACGCACTCTTATTATTTTTATATAGAAACATCATGTTATATCACCATGGGTTGTTATATCAACATAATGTATTTTCCCATGGCGATTTTGTTATAGTTATAAAATAATAAATAAACGGATAGACACACATAAAACAGTCTATCAAATACTCCATTTTAATTTTTAATATTTTATTATACGATTAATTAATATAGAGTTACAAATAAATATGCTCTATAGTACCCAAATTGTTTTGACAGCCCAAATTCAATAGCTTCAAATGAAATTTGTTTTTTGTTATTCAGTTGGTTGAAGTCTTTGGAAGTCGCACCACAAATATAGCAACGACTTGTCGATGTTGTGCCAGTAGCTGCGTTGCAGACTTTTCCGTCAACCATTGTCATTATGAACAGATGTTTGACGAAAAACGTCTTTCCATCAATATCAACCTCAGTTGCATTTAAAGAGTCTGTGGAATTTTGGACGTATTTCATCTCTTCATTTGTGACATCAGTATTCTCTTTCACGAAACGAAATCTAATGGGGCGGCAGAATCGTGGAGAAAAAGGTGTTGGATTTTCCCATAGTACTATTTCAAAGGCCACAAACTAATCGCACAGGTACAAAGCAGCTCTGAAAAATAATTGCAGCTGAATCAGCTTCCTTGTCACATTTTTGTTTGAACTGTGATTTCTACGATCTATCCCATCACCATTTACATATAATTTTTAATGTATGCCTTTCTTTCTCTACTATTGTGGATAAGATCTCTTTAAGGAACCGACTATAGGTTGCAATTGGCTTTCGGCGGTGACACTCGTGACTGCACGTTTCTGGGGCGGATAACACTCTTTTTTTGCTTACGGTATACGATTATAACACGGCAAGAACTTTAACACAGGGAGTAACTTCGGCGAGTCGTTGGCGATCTATTATGCATACGGGCGTAAATAATTCCAATTAATTTTAATTAATTTCTTTTAAGCTACTTGTAAGATTATGTAGTCATCGAATCCCAGCTGAAGAATTAGCAAGGAAAGATGACCTCACACTTTTATTCTCAGCAATAACCTCACCATGTCGTCTCCATAATATAATGTGGAGAAAAAGTGCGGCGGAAGTATTAATGACTTTATCAAGACATGGATTAAGTCCACCAGTTGTGGGATATATTCACTGTTAGTTCTTATAAATGTTTTTTAATTTTAAATTAATTAATTGGGATTTTAGCGAAAAGTTGTGTTGCTCTTTGTATTGATAACATGCAAAGAGTTCCAGAATTAGCCCCATTGGAAGTTGTAGAAATGTTCGTAACGATGTTTTGCTTTCTAAAAGATTCCAGTGATGTTTCATCGACACTTTTAGATGATTTTAGACAAGCGCAAGGTTATTTATTTTTATCGGATTTTCTTTTAAAGTAATAATTAGTACTAAATTATTTTATATTAATAATTTTAACCTAAAATTATTTTAGGTTGGAAAATGAACGCTCCACCGACGCTCAAGATTCAATAAGAAATTTGATTTTAATGATAACCTCGTTATGTATGTGCGGCTATTTAGAATTAAAACCATCGCAAGCTTCAACAGGTTCTCTATTTCAATTGCAAGGGTTCTCATTACCGCAACCTTCCGGAAAAGGAACCAGCGTTCGGAATGTGCAAGCTTTTCACGTTTTACAAACTATGTTTCAAAAATCTAATTCTCCGATGCTTTGCTCGGTTATTTTAGATGCAATTTCAAACATTTATCATTCTGATAACGCGAATTATTTTATCTTAGAAAATCAAAATACATTGAGTCAATTTACGGAAAAAATTTATCATAAACCAGCGGAAATCCAACATAAATTATTCCAATTAATTGAGTTTTTAGTTTTTGAATTGAATTTTGTGCCATGCAAAGAACTAATAAGCATGTCAATTTTCTTAAAAACGCACAGTATGAATCATGTCGAATGTAGCATCATTTGTATGCAAACTTTATTAAATATTTTAAGACATAACAACATATTTAAAGATGTTTATCGAGAAGTTGGGTTATTAGAAGTCTTTGTAACTTGCTTGAATCGTTATGGAAACCTTTTGGAAACGAAAAAAACAGCTGTCGATGCAGGAAAAGATTTTTTTATCCCCATCGGGCAAGAAAGATTTGGAAACATGGTTATCGAAGCATTAACGGTATTATTATCGTCAAATTCATCGAACGCTAACGTTTTACGCGAATGCGGCGGAGCAAAATGCGTTCATAATTTAGTGATTTTCGCTGAATGTCGTCAGGCAACTTTAGGAATAATAAGAGAATTAGTTTTAACTTCCGGTGGTGATGAGGATATGGCACAACTTTTAGCTACCTTACACACAGCTCCAAGACACGCTTTATTATTAAAAATGGATATACTCAAAGCTTTGCTTCAATGCTTAAAAGAATCTCATCGTACAAGAACTGTTTTCCGCAAGGTAAACGGTTTCGTTTATGTAACCAGCGTTTTAATTTCATTGGAAGGAAAGTTATCGAAATATGAACCCGATCCCGATATTTTAAATTTATTACAATTGGTTTTTTATACGATTAGTACTGCCATGAGGTTCGAGCCGGCAAATGCAAAATTTTTTCATCACGAAATTTGCATGACAAGTCTGTGTGATACTTTGAGACTATTAGGATGTTTTTCGCCGTTAAAAATCGAATCTCTTGCGGATTGTGATGAAATTTTAGCGTTGGACATGCACTTACAAGATTTATACCATAAGATATTTATCGGAAGTTTAAATAATTTAACGATTAATAACGATGTACCTGCTACTTTAGCATACGCTACTATTGTGTATAGATTATTATACGATTTAGCTTTGGATTTGTATGATAAACCGAATGCGTCGTCGTCAATTCTTGCCATGAAATCTCTTTCGAGGCAATCATCTAATGAGCCATCGGTAAGAATTAAATTAAATACTCTCTCCGTCCAGAAATAAGTGTCCGCTATCGATTTTTTTTGTCCAAAAATAAGTGTCTGATTTACTTAAAAATTAATTTATTGAAACTTAACTACAAATAACGTTTCTAAGAAACTTTTGATGGGAATTATACTGAATTAATGATGTCTTTTACATGTTGATAAAGCCCAAAATCAAAATTTATAGAAACTGGATCTTTATTCATATATTATTCATATTCCATCTACTTTTATGGTTGCTACTATACACTGTTGGAACTCAATTTGGAAAAGGCTTTTTCAACAGCAAGAACTAATTCGTCTACAGTTTTGCAAGCCGATTGTTGCTGCAATGATTGAATTGCATTAAAAAGCCTAAATCTAAGACGTTTGTATCAGGACTATTGGGTGGCTGACACCAGGAAGAATGTGTGGTTTAGCGCTGTCTTGCTGGATCCAAATTGTTTGCGACGAAATTTTGCTTGAATTTCGGGCAACAATTTTCCAATAATCATGTTCTTATACTCTTCTCTAGTAATATTAGAAACCACTTTCGTTTCAATGGTCCGATTTTTACTGCTCCGTTTAGCAGGTTCCAAAAACAGAAAAGGATAAATGTCAAGTTTTCTATCGAAGTTCTTGTTTTCAGAATAATTCCAACGTGGACGAGCTACAGCGGCTAAGATCATTACTTTTGTGGAAAAACGTTTACCTTTGCAGGTCCTGTGTGGTTCCTTCTCGCCATCAACTACTATCCGTGCAAAAAGTCAAGGCCCCTCACTTTAGAGATTTATATCTTCGTAACCGTTCGATGAAAAAAATTGCAGTAAAGTTTATTGTAATCAGTGAACATTTCTGCGTATCACATGTTAATTTGGAAATTTTCGGGTTTGCGATTTTTCTTTTATCGCGAGTTAAGTGAAAAAAGTACCCGATATTTGAGAGTACCAGCAACTTTGTCTACTTTGCAATTTTTCTCCACAACTATTTGACGAAAGAACTTCAAATTTGAACTGGTGGTAAACCGATGTGTTCTTAATGTGGGGCATATTTTATTTTATCGATATTCCATATAGTTTCGCGGAAAATTGCGGATTTTAACGCGGTTTTTACCAAAATATGTCAAATAATGTCGGTTGTCGGATGCCGTTATCAGTTTCTCAAAATTAGGGCTCCCTAATTTTTTAAGAACGATTTAATGGAATTACAAATTAAAGATCGCCATGCGGGGTGACGGGGGTTTCGTCCAATCGGAACAGATGGTGCGTCCTAGAAAGGACGTAGCGCCTTATTTCTTTATGTAGGTAAGTTAAAGGCGCGACGTACTATCTGGAACGCACCATCTTTCCCGATGGGACGGAACCCCCTTCTCCCCGCATGGCTATTTCTGTTTCTTTTTAATTTATAATTCGCTTAAATCGCTCTAAAAAAATTAGATAGACATAACTTTGAAAAACTGATAACGGTATCCGATAAACGCAATTATTTGACATATTTTGATCAAATCCGCGGGGAAATCCACTCAGATGTTTTCGACATAATGGCGTCTTACTAAACCGCGATTTTCTGTGAAACTGTATGGGATATCGAAAAAATAAAATATGTCACTCATTAAGAACACATCAAGCTACCACCTGTTCAAAATTCAAATTTTTTCGTACTATAGTTTTCGAGAAAAAAAATCGCAAAGTTGAGACTCGCGATTAAAAGAAGACCGCGGATCCGAAAATTTTCAAATTAACATAAGTTAAGTATTATCAGCGATTACAACAAACTTTGTCGCAATTTTTTTTATCGAGCGGTTGCGAAGATATCGATCTCTAAAATGAGGGACCTTGACTTTTTGCACCGATGGTAGGTAATAGGAGTACGTTTCAGCTGTTTTTGTGAGATAAAACCATGAATTCGATCAGGTAATTCAAATTCGACCCCCACCATTGGGATCTCAGAAACCATAAGAGATACAGAAATGGTTAAATGGGGGCAAAGTTGCGTATTGTAGAGGTCATCATTTTTCAACAAAGTTTTTGGAAACTAAAACAGCTAGTTTTAGTTTTTAAAATAAGGCCGAAAAACAAAAAAATTACTTTTTCGTTTTTTGCCTATAACTCCTTTATTTTTCGTTTTTTCATGAATCTGAAAAAACATTCTTAAGGCAACTTTTTATGAAAAATGTCGTGACACAGCTAGATATTTTCTCCGACGTTTGGTTTTCGTGAAACTATTATCAGGTTTATTCTTTTTTTTGAATAATTCAATGTTTTTCTAAATGAAATACATTGTGTGACATATCATTGAAATCAGAATTAATTATCCTATTTTTTTGGTGTGAAAATCAAATATGGCGTTCATAGGACACAAACATAGTTGTCAGATATGGTGATAGTTTTACGTGTAGGAGTTTGTATTTTAAGCCTTCGTCCCAGACTTTATCGAACACTTGGGTTTTTCTTTTACAGGTTTGTGATTTCTTCCGGGTTTCGGAAAAACTACGATGTGTCAAATTGTTTACCCTGTTTTTGGTTTCGCAGCTCCTCGTTCGCTGCCATTCTTGTCTCAATCTGCTTTTTTGTTTTATTAGTTGTAATATTGCAGCTATCGTAAGTACTTGAAGAGATTTACTATTTCGTTTTTTTTTTACGGAACTGTTGATAGTTTTACACTTTCACATATATTATTTGTGTAGTTGGAAATCTATTCCTTCGTTACAATCGATGTCAATTGGTGCTTCAGCCAGACGATCTAGAGTTTCATGAAAAGTTTCCCAGTTTGGTTTGCCATTTATCAGTGTTGGTTATGGTTTATAGTTTTTTGAAAAACTTTGGAACGATTCAACCAATTAAGTCTCGGAAAGCGATGTTCTGAAAATGCCGGCATAAGCAGTTCCACGAACTCTTGTTTTTTATGCGTTACTCTATTATCAAATTGGCAAAGGCGGAGAAATGTCGGAACCTTTTAGACCTCTTTCCAAAGGTATTTCCGAATTTCTTTTGAATTTTTTTTATTGAGCATTCTTAAATAGTATTCTAAGAATTAAAAACTAAAGACAATGTATCGAAGCGGGTAGGAAAATGTTTAAAAATTCATAAATCTTATTTGTTCTTGCTAGATTATAAACGTTAGTTAATTGTTTCTGAAGAAGTTTTAATTTTTTTCAAAAGATGTTTTGCCGTTGTACTGGCAAAAGCTCACGGTAAAATTTTTTTTTTTGAATTACTCTACTTTTATCCACAGATTCAGCTTTTACAATAAAATACCTTGAAAATAAGGTCAAGGTCAAAAATGTTACCGTCATATGGTTTCCCCCTTCGCACAGTACAACTTTCATTTGGTTCATTTTTATGTAAAATGAACTGTTATCGAGATAATCGCGTATTATAATGTGTATTCTTCAAGTGGAATTATTTGTAATGCATTTACTATCGAGATTTGTTTTAATTTAATACCATTTGGGCTATTAGCACGACATCCCCATGTTTTATTTTTACAATTTAAGTCGGCTATCATAAGAGTCGAAGTATTAGAATTAAATATACGTGTTATGTCGTTTTGTATCAACGATTTGTTTGATTGCTTGTAAACAAACTAAATTCATGTTGGCGCCATCTAACGTTTTTATTTTAACACCAACTGCAAATTCAAAGATTTCCGTTCGTTGATTCTTTAGTCCATTCGCGTTCCAGTACATTACGGTGATGTCTTGTATTGTTCGGCTGTTATTGTTATCCATTGATAAGATTAGGAGGTAGGGAATTAGCAATGAATTGTTTAATTTGTGTTATAACTGGTGTAAGGAGATCTCTTAGAAATTTGATTATGGTATCTGTAATTGTTGATGGTGAGGGATGAGGATATAGGATTATGATTAGAGCTTGATGTGGGAGTAGTGTTTATGCTTTTTGCGGTGGGGTGATCATTATTTCCTTGAGGATTCGTATTTGCGATTTAAGTATGGGACGACCTTCAACCTCTATAATTTGCTGGGTGATTATCGCCACAATTAGCGCATGTTGGTGGATCTTTTCTATCTTTTATGCATTTTTAATTAAATGATTTTTTCCGCGTTTAACTGTTTGAAATAGTAATTCTTGGTATGACCAAATTCCTGACATTGATGGCATTGTGGTATGTTTCCTAGTTTTCTTCTCGCTTCAACACTAATTATGCATAGAAAAATTGAATTGATATTGTATGGCTTTGGCATTTTCTTCTGGATTCAGTTCAACTGCGCATATTGGTATTGGTTGTTTATTTTTGTTAAGTCTCTAGTAATCTAGTTACTCTAATAATTGGAAGTTTATGGGTTTATAGTTCGTTGAATATCTCTTCTTCAGTTAATGATATGGGTAAATGTGTTATAATCACAGATATGTCTTTGGAATTCGGGCCTTGAAAAGAATGATATTCAAGGCTTTCTTCAGTATAAAATTTAGTTAACTAGTTAAGTAATGGTACAGACTTTATTAACACCGTCTCATTATTTCTCGGTTTTCGACCAACGCTACTTTAGCACCATCGGCTAACGATTTTCGGGCTTGATGCTAAATTCGGCTTTCAATTTTTACGGAAATGTTAAATTTGTTCGCTGTCATCTTAATTGAGCCTTGTTTCAGTTTGCTATACTCAGTTCTAGTAACGCATGATAAACGGCCTGCCTTTTGTTGGAACTTAAGTTTGGTCTTTTACCACCGTTTCTTGTCAAAATGTTTTCCTCTTTCCCATTATTTTCTTAAACCGGATCTTTCTGTGAGATCTTGAAAAGTCGCATTTTTTTGGATAAAAAACTTATACTGTAGGAAAAATTACAAAACTTTTTAATGGCAGTGAAAAACTTAACCTTTAATTTAACTTTGTGTTTTCTTTTCTTAATTTTTGAAAAAAAATCGATATCAGACACTTATTTCTGGACGGAGGGAGTAATATGAATAAAGCTAAAATAAATTTGGATTAATTTCGTAGACTCCGACTTCAACAATTCAAGGACGAAGATCTGTTGTGAATTCTTTAAATTTAAACCCACCTGTACCTGATCCGATGATTGTTCATCCAGGGGTGGTAACAGCTATGTTACAACTCTTACCTTGTATACAAGTAACTATATTTAAAAAAATTTAATATAATTTGCTTTAATATCGTGTTTATTCTCCAGGATAATAATCTAGAAAAACAACTAAGCCTTCAATTTTACATCTCCGAAGTGATAAAATCATTAGTTCGTAGTGAACGTAATCAACAAGTAATGTGCGATAGCAAATTTGTTGGACAACTTTTACTAATTGGATCGAAACCCCTTCAAACGGAAACACACCTTTTACATTCACCCCTACAATACATGTTGGAACGTTTAGCAGCTCAAGCTTTAGAACCGACTGATTTAAGAAATTTCCTCCGACTTGGAAATCCTTTATGTTGCGTTCCTTTACAATCGAAAGATCCAGGTGGTGGACCTGTACCATTAACCCGAATCAAAACTTTAGTTTCAATGACAACCCCAAAAGATTTTCGGGCACAAGCGTCATGTACTTTGCCTCCCTTTGTTGAATTCGATATGTCAGCGGAAGGTTTTGGGTGTTTGTACCTTCCAAGTATCGCCCCACAAAGCTTGGGAGCCCCCAGTGTGGTTTCAACAGTTGATAGTAATATTTTGGGAGGAATTGGAGCTGGAGATAGACTTTTCCCCCCACAAACTGGATTGAGCTTTTCCACGTGGATTTGTGTGGATAAATTTTCCGATCCAAGAACAGATCCTCATTGTGTTCGGTTATTAACGTTGGTGAGAAATTTTAATTTATCAAAGGACCAACATTTGGTGTGTTTATCGATTGTTTTATCTGCAAGAGACAAAGCTATTATTGTGTCAACTCAAGAAACTCATATTCCAGATCGTAATAAATATTAAAACAAATTTTTTTATTAAATTTATATAAAATAATTTTTAGATGTTGGTGAATGGGAACCGGAAGGTTCTGGGGAGCATGGAGCTAGAGTTTGGTGTCCTGATATCCTTCAGGAAGGTCAATGGCACCATTTAGTGATTGTTTTAAATCGAGCAGTATTAAAAAATTCATCGTTTTCACTTTATCTTGATGGCCAACATATGCATACTCAAAAGTTACATTATATCTCACAAAATCCAGGGGGGATATCTACAAATATGACTTCAGCCTCATCTGTTTATGGGTTTATTGGAACTCCGCCGGCTTGGAGAAGATATTCAAAACTTTGTTGGAAACAAGGACCTTGTCATTTAATTGAAGAAGTAAATTAAATCTCACCAAGCAATATTGTTGTTACAATTTTTTGTTTATAGGTGTTACAACCGGTTACTGTGGGTTACATTTATCAATTAGGTCCTCAATATATGGGATCTCTTCAAGCACCGAATGTAAGTGTAGAAGTGAATCAATTGGTTGCTGAAGAAAAAGTTGTCTTTGGTTTAAACGTAAAGGCGATGTCTCAATTAACATTGAGTAAAATACGTAAAGTTTACAGTAGAACAGATAATAAATCGATCGCTAAACAATTGGGAATGTCAAGTCATGAGAATGCAACTCCGATTCGGATTTTACACAATTCAGCTGGACATCTTTCAGGACCTTCGCGATCTTTGGGTGGTGTTGTTATCGGTTATCTTGGTGTGAGGGTGTTTTGTCCAAGACCGGTTGCTTTAGTGGTAAGTTTTTAATAATACTTTAAATGATTTAATTTTATTTTGATTAAAAACTTTTTAGATTGATACAGTTGGTGGTTGCGCAGTTCTCCTTGGACTAATAGCAATGGCCCAAGACGTCGAAAGTTTATATGCAGGTGTAAAAGCTTTAGTTTGCGTCGTAAGAAGTAACAAAGCAGCTCAAGTTGAAATGGATCGCAAAAGAGGTTACCAAACCCTTGCGATGCTCCTCCGCAAAAAACGAACTCTCCTCAACTCGCATATCTTACATTTGGCGTTCAGTTTAGTAGGAACAGTCGATAGCGGAAGGGAAACATCCGCAATACCAAATTTAACCGCATTTCAAGACTTATTATGTGATTTAGATGTTTGGCACGAAGCGCCTGGAGAATTACTTCGATCCCATTTAGAACATTTGTATGAATTAGCCGCCGAATCAAACGAAAAAAGAAATAATACTTGGATAATGAGAGATTTGCAATTAGTCACGAAATTATTACATATAACACCGGAAATTAAACACGGAGCGACTCGACAAGTTTTATTTTCGTTGTTATCTATTTTATTGGGGGGGCAACCAAGACAGTCGGATTTATTATGGTTTGGCCAATTTATTGCGGCGAAATTACCACCGACTACGATTCCGAGTGAAAAAAATATTGTATTGCGCGAAGGCGATTTAGAAAAAGAAGCTGAAGGGGAGCACATATTATTAAGAAATCGCTGTTTATCATTAATGCACAATTTGCTTTTTACAAATCGAAACGTCGTAAATGTAATGATTTGTGATGAAATCGCGAGAACTTTAGGTTTTGATTGGGTTTTATTGTTTCTTCAACCGCATTTACATTCAACTACTGTTGTTATTGGAATGAGAATTTTAATTGTTATGTGTTCAAATTCAACGTTAATGACACGGTAAGTAATTTTACACTGTTGGAAATAATTTATGAGAACACCCTGTATAATTTAAACACGTGAAGGTAAATCCATAATATTTGCGGAATATAAAAGTTTACTGTAGACGAGTTTATTCAGCGAGTATAGAGTTTTTCTGTCGCGGTATTATTAACTGAGCCGCCTCTCCCTATTCCGTCGCTATGGAGACCGAACTGGGTTGGAGATACCGATCGTTTTTAGTGTGGTGAGGGACCAGTTTGTTGGGTTGGGTTGGGCCAGGACTGGTTGTGGGTATGCACATTGAGGGTGTATCGTTCCGGGTAATTACGCGTCGTTATCGGCAGTGCAACGGGCACGGCGAGAATTCTACTAACACCCGAGCACCGCCGCATACGTCACGAGTGGGTCGACACTAGACATTGGTGGGTTGCCGAGTGGAGGGATATTTCGCGTGTTGTACTGACCTTTGTAGAAGAGTACCGTATACTAATGCTTCCATGGCCAGCTCATTCTCCGGATCTGAATCCGATCGAACACGTTTGGGACATGATTGGTCTGAGACTTCAACGTTATCCGGTTCCCCCGGCTATGGGGGCGAGTTGAGGCGGGAAGGTTAGCAATCCCTCCCGCTACAATACACTTATCGACTCCATGCCACGTCGCACATAGGGGTATTTGATACCAAAAGTTGGTCAAAACTCTTTTTTTATTCGTATGTTAGTAAAATCGTTGCTTAAACTTTTTTTAACATGATAAACTTAAATAAAACTAGAATTTAACACAAAACGGGATATTTATTAAAAAATAATATGATGCCACACTAAAAAATTGTTCTTATTCGTCACACGAACTCTCCTCATTTGGTTCTTCGTCCTCATGGACACTTTTTTTGACTTTCTTGGATAGAAGTTATTGCAGCTTTCGATGGAAGAAGAAGATGGATGGTTCCTTTGGAGAACGGTTTCGTTGATTTTCTTGGCAATGGGCGTATACTTGTAATAAGAGGGTCAGAGCTCAACAGTAATCTATATATGTATAACATCTCTATTACGCGCCTCTCGGGAAAATTTTCTTACGAATCCTTGCCTGTATGTACCAAAGGGTATGTTACTGGCTTCAGTAGTCTCCTTTGATAGTTGCCCGATCAGCAATAAGGCATATGAAATAATTTCAGCATCATGTAACTGAGCTGTTTCGTATGCATATATTTCAAATTTTGCGACATCAATCTCACGTCCACTTGATATTGCTTCCAATATAATCTTCAATCTGTAAATTAAGGTTTCGTCAACTCCAGTAATTTCGCTTGTCGATTTAGGGTCTTGCAAAATTCTTCTAACCAAATTTCCGTCATTCCGTATTTCCAAAACCAGCTTTTGGAATATCTACTAAGAGACTCATCTCCTGCCTGAATTTCTCTTGAATTAGTTTTTTGTCTCGGCTATAGTCTTTTTATCTTTCTAATTGGAAGCTTGTATGACAAGTGAAGGATTGATTCAAACAACCGTATTTTTGCATGAAGAATGGATATTCCCAATGATAATGATTCTGGGTTCACATCTTTCCTCTTTGATATGTCCTTAAAGGTTCGTACAGACACGTTTAGTAATTTAGTCGAGTAGCGAGTAGCCACTTACCGCTGGAACGTTTACTAGATGGCAACTGTCCACATTTAAGACACTTTAGTGGTACTCAAGATGAACAAACGACGTCATCGCGCGCATTTGAATAATATAAGAAATATAATTCATATGCTTATAAAGGAAATTGAAGAAGAAGTATTTGAAAAACTTAATAAGCGTATATGGGTTAGAAAGTGGATGAGTATTTGAAAGTATTTTATGGATGGAACATAAACAGTACCGGCACTAGATCCAGATTTCATAGAATCCTTAATTTTTTTTTTGCTCCATGTGAATATGTCGATCTAGTATTTTTTATTTTCAATTTTATCTCCTTTTCTGCAAAACCTATTCATAACCTTTTTCAAATCTTCATAAGCTTTTTGTTTTGCTAACCTGTCTTTATAAGTAACACTTTTAATATGCCATAAACATTCATGTTTGACATTTTTACTAATAAACTTGACAGTAGTGTTCATGAATATTACTAATTCACTAAACTAAATTTATGCGTTCGCACGTGTTTTGTGGCAGTTATAAGTACTCGACTAAATCGTTTTACTAAACTACTCGACTAAATTGTAATGTCCGTACGTAGCGAGTTATTAAATTGCTCTCTACTCGACTAAATTACTAAACGTGTCTGTACGAGCCTTTAAAGCTTTTTGAAGTTAGCCCACACAAGTAGCACCGCATTGTAGATGCTGTGTTAGCTGCGGCATTGCATATTTTCTCACCAACCATAGTAAATAATAGTGTGTGTTCAATTTCATATTCAGGTTCTCTTTTCTTTCCTCTTTCTACTTTTTTGTAGCTCTTTTACTTGATGTTCTAAATATATGATTTCATCTTTGGCAACATGCTTCGTTTCATGAATAAACCTGATTCTTATGAGCCTACAATATCGGGGGGGAGGATGCCACTGGATTTTGCCACAATATTTTGCCCTCTTTAGTTCTTAATCTAAGTGGAACAAAGGAGCTTTGGAAGATATTTGCATCAGAGTCTGTTTGCGATCCATCACAGCCCCATTTGTGAATCAGTTCTAAATTAGATCGTTCTTCTTCACTGCATCCTTCAAACACTTCGTCCAGATACTGGCATAAACGAGAACAAGTGTGGTCCAGAATATCTTGGAATTTCATCTCAGCATATGTGGATGTTGCTCGAAATGCCTCAGGTTTTGGATAACACCGTTGTTTTGCGTTTTGTAATAGCGAGTAACAAAGAAAACGCTGCTTGTCAACTTTTCTCACAATATTGTATTGTCTCCCCCTTAAATCTGCCCCCAGAAACATAGATATCGCTTCTGTAGGTGATAGTTGTGGTGTATGACGTGGTTTAGTAATGCATTTGCAGAATTTACTTGCCCTTGTTGGCGATTTCGTAATATCTTTTAAAGTGCCATCAAGCTCTTATGTGCTGTAAATGTTTTGTTTTTCTTCGTTTGGTACGGTCCCTAGACTCCAGGAATGATTTTAATGGCCGCCCACCTGCGCCTACATGTGATAAAGATGATGTCATCATTGGCAAAGCGATAATACCTTGTAACCAACTGGCATTCTTCTTTTCAAATACGTCTCTTTTCGTGTAGACAGTCATCCTGTTATTCTTAAAATCAGATTTAAAATGGGACAGTTTATGTTTCAGGATATGACGTTCATACTTAGTGATTTCAAACAAATGGTTCTCTAAATAATCAAATTTCTTATCAATTTGTTTAATAGGGCATTGAAGCACAATAACGTATAAATATTGTTTGGTTACCGTCTTCAAATCCCCCGAGTAACCTAAAACAAAGTATAAGACTCTATAATGATGAAAGGCACACTTAGTAACAGTGATGTGAATTTGTAAATTACCAAAATATTTACCGTAATTTACTGTAAATTACCAAACAAATTTTTCCTAAATTACCACTAGGAGCTAGGATGTGTCTGCGCATGCGCTTTCGGTGTTTTGATAATGCTGTAAAGTCCCTATAAGAAACTTAAAAGAGTTGGTTATAACAGAAACTATAACAAGTATTGTAGACGAAAATATTAAACGTAACATTTTAACCGATATATTCTAGGGGAAGCTGGAATATAAGATTTTAAATCCCATTTCAATAATTTTAAAAAATGTACAAACTTCCCAACCTTGCATTTCTCACGTTGTTGACTATTTTCAACATTTGAATGATCAACTACAAAGTGAATGCCCAGTTTTAGAAGTAAAAACAATTCTATCACTTTTAAAAGCACGAAGAGATATGGCTGTAACACCTTTACACTTAGCTGCAAATTTACTAGATCCAAAAATTATGGGTGGTATTCTGTTATATTATGGAAGTCTCTTTGTTGTACTACATCATTAAGCAAAGTAGCAACAGAAATCTTAAATTGCTCACCAACAACGTGCACAACAGAAAGAAGCTTTTCTGAATTATGTGTTTGAATTACATAGAATTCATATTTTGTTTCATTTTTAGAGTTTTTGTTACATAATTTATTTTAAATGTTCCTTTGCAGTTTGTATAAAGGGTTTATTAAATCAAAATCAAGTTAGATTCTACTGTCCTTGAATCAAAATAATAAAAAGGTTACCGTAGTAATTTATCAAAAAAATTATTAAATTACGCGAGAATAAATTTTGAGAAAAAATAACCAAAATCTACAACAGTAATTTACACAAATTATAAATTACCGCAATTTTACATCACTGCTTAGTAATATGTAAATATGAAACAAATATCATAGTAAATAAAACGCTATACGCTATATTAATATTCTATTTAAATTTTTACACGCTTAATAAAAATGTACAGGTGTCCCAATTTCGATGTCCGCATAGGCTATCTCCGAAACTAAAAGAGATAGAAAAAAAGTAGCTTACATGTCATGATCTCGTTTTTCGAGAAAATGCTAATGCCGAAAACTCCAAACAGCTATCGTTTTTTGTTTTCTCCCTAACGGCAAAAACTGCAAATTTTGCAAAAAGGACAATCGCGAATATCTCACTTATTATCAAAGATGGAGTATTATAAATAAAACATTATATGGGCAACTTTTTACGAAGAATTTAGTGGCGTAGGTAGAATTTTTTTCCCGTCTTTTATTTTCGAGATTTTAGACGTAACTTTATTTTTTTAAATGGAAACCATAGTTGGCTATGACTTAAAATAATTTGGTATTTTCTTCTGATAACAAATATATATAGTTTGTGGGGTATATTTCCTATAGTTATTGAATAATTAACAAAAATTCATTTTGTTCTATCTAAAACTAATGTATATATTTAAAAGTTAATGTTGCTATGGTGATAACCATACATACTATGATGGAACATAATGTATCAAATAATTACCAAAGTTTGTATTTAAAAATTCGATAACAACTCTGATATTATGTGCTGGTACAATGCACGAGCATGTTAAGTGTCAAAGTATAACAAAACTGAATAAAACTTTACAATGAATTTCGAAAATTATGAAAAATGTAACATGATGGAATGCTATATATTATCAGATAAGAATGCGACGTTAGTCGCGGAATTTTATTTCACAAGATATTCGGAAAGAAGACAACCGCACGTAAGAACCTTCAGTCGGTAAGCAGAAAATTTAATAGATATTTGGTCCTTCCCCAAACCACATGCAAAAACATACCAAAATGACCTGCAAGAGAAATTACAACAAGACGTCTGACCCAAAAGCTGCTGCACCCGAATATGAAAGAAAAATAAGTATAAACCATACAAAGCGGGGCTAACTCATTATTTACGTGCCGGAGATGTTAATCGAAGATTAGAATTTTGTAGATGATATTTAGAAAAATTAAATAATCTGCTGTTTCTTCAAAATGTTATCTGGACCGATAAAGTCTCTGAATGTTCAAAGAAGATTGAGGTTCAATGTATGGTGTGCCCTTTTAGTTAATAGAATTTTGGCATATAGTATCTACCATAAAAAGTTAAACTCAGGGAAATACTTCAATATATTAAGGCAGCACATTGAGCCTTTGATCGACAATTTACCACTAAATATGTCTCAAATAATATATTTTCAATGTGACGGAGCACCAACACATAACGCCAGAGTTGTTAGTGAATTTTTAAATACTACTACAAACTCAAGGACAGTAGAATAAACAAACTACGTCACACCATTTTCCACGCCCAGCTGTTGTTATGGTCTATGCGTTTGCTGTGTTTTTAGAGGTTATATCCTAGATGTATTCATATCAGTTTTAAAGTTTTATGTTTTTAGACGTATTAATGTCTATCATATAACTTCTAAAAACACAGACAGTTACCAGGCGTGGCAAATAGTGTGACGTAGAGTGCGGGCAACCAACCCGTAGTCGACTACAAAAATACAATGGATGTAGCAGTCCTGTTAGATTCTACTGTGCTTGCTACAAACTTTGGCAATAATTGGAAACAATGCTTTCCCTCATGGTATGGTTATCACCATAACAACATTAACTTTTAAATACATACATTAGATTTAGATGGAACAAAATGAATTTTTGTTAATTATTCAATAACTAAAAGAAATATACCCCACAAACTATATATATTTGTTATCAGAAGAAAATAACAAATTATTTTAGGTCATAGCCAACTATGGTTTCCATTTAAAAAAATAAAGTTACGTCTAAAATCCCGAAAATAAAAGATGGAAAAAAAATTCTACCCACGCCACTGAATTCTTGGTAAAAAGTTGCCCATATAATGTTTTATTTATAATACTCCATCTTTGATAATAAGTGAGATATTCGCGAATATCGTTTTTGCAAAATTTTCAGTTTTTGCCGATAGGGCGAAAACAAAAGACGATAGCTGTTCGGAGTTTTCGGCATTAGCATTTTCTCGAAAAACGAGATCATGACATGTAAGCTACTTTTTTTCTATCTCTTTTAGTTTCGGAGATGGCCTATGCGGACATCGAAATTGGGACACCCTGTACACTAATCTAGCGCTGAATAAGAAATAAAATTAACACTAGACCCAGAACTAGAAACATACCATTTAGCTGTACCTCTATTAAGACGGCTGGTAGGTGGTAGGTAGCGCTAGTTAGCATAAAATATCACTATGTTGCATATTTTTATTGAACTAAAACTAGAACTAGAAACATTCAGATTTAGCCGCACGTCTCTCAAGACGGCTAAACCCGAATGATTCTAGTTCTAGGTCTTGTGTTAGTTCTAGTTATAGTGCAATACTAGAACTAACACTAAACCCAGAACTAGAAACATTCGGATTTAGCCGCACGGCTTTCAAGACGGATAAACCCGAATGATTTTAGTTCTAGGTCTTGTGTTAGTTCTAGTGATAGTGCTAGTGTAAAACTAGAAACATTCAGATACTTTCTAGGTCTAGTGTTAGTTTTACAGTTTGTTAATTAATTATAATAATATATATAATATTTGCACGCGATTTGCGCATTGCAATACGAATACTGTGATATTGCTTGAATACTTGCAATGATGACGTCGGGTACGATAATTAACACATGTACTTTTACACTAACACTCTACCACTAGAACTAACACAAGAACTAAAATCATTCGGGTTTAGCCGCACGTCTCTCAGTATGGTAATGTTTCTAGGCGACCGGTAACATCTCGAATTTTCCTAGGGTAATTTTTGCTTAAAACTGACCAATAGCAACCCTTCTTTTTGGCGCTTCAATTTTAAAACACTCCTCCGAATTAAAAAATAGAATATAATAAATTTGAGTTTTGGCCAACTTATTCTACTCTGGCTATTGATGCATCCCCTCCCAGCAGGGTTGCGTCGCTCTCCATATGAGGGTAAGTTACATTACTTTACTTTATTATTATACAGGTGTGTTCGTGAATTATTTCCAACGGTGTACTTATTTTTATAACAAAATTAATTTAATTAAAACTAATTATTGCAGTTTCCGTGAAGGCTCTTGTAATGGAGGTTGGTTAAGACACACCGAACAAGTGACCCA